GCCGACTCACGAATAGCGTGGCCTCCTCAAAGGGCCTGAGCAAGCGGCAGGTGTCACGCATGAGCTGCCAATGGCTGACATCTAAGTTACACAGGGGAGTACCTTTATCCGCTTGTAACATCAGGAAATCGGTGATGGCCTTTCGCTGTTCGTAAAGGCGGTCTAACATATGTAGGGTTGAATTCCACCTTGTTGCAACGTCGCAGATCAGGCGATGCTGTGGAATTCCGTTCTGCCGCTGCAGCTCAAGGAGGGTGTGCTTTGCGGTGTAGGAATGGCTGAAATGCATGCAAAGTTTACGTGACATTTTAAGGATGTCTTGCAGTGGGATGGTGGATTTTAGGAACCGCTTGACAACCAGATTGAACACGTGAGCCATGCATGGCGCATGGCACAACCTTCCTTGACGCAGAGCAGACACCATGTTCTTTCCGTTGTCGGTCAACATGGTTCCGATTTTCAGTTTGCGCGGAGACAGCCATCTGTCGATTTCTCTGTTCATTACACTCAGAAGTTCCTCCCCTGTGTGACTACGTTCGCCAAGGCATACCAGGTGCAGCACAGCGTGACACCGTTGCGCCCTGCACATGTGATATGCCGGTCGGGTAATGGGACTTGGCACGGGGGTGGCGGCTGAGAACACGGCGGAAGAAGAGGTGGTAGAGGCGGACATCTTTGCTGGACCAAGGACGTGCAAACGTGGAGGCAAAAGCGGCGTGACCTGTCCAAGTTGCTGGTGCGGCTGTGCCGGCACCACGTTCACCCAGTGGGCCGTAAATGACATGTACTGTCCCTGACCGTAGTTACAGCTCCACACGTCGGCGCTGCCGTGCACTTTGGCAGAGACCGACATGCTCAAAGACTGGCCCACCATCTCTTCTACATGTGAATGCAGGGCTGGCACTGCCTTTTTGGCGAAGAAATGCCGGCTTGGCACTCTCCACCGCGGCTTGGCACAAGCCATCATTTCTCGGAAAGGTGCTGAGTCCACCACTTGGAAAGGGAGGGACTGCAGCACCAGCAACTTGGACAGGAGGACGTTCAGCTTCTGCACCGTCGGGTGCGTGCTCGCAAACTGTTGTCTCTTGGAAACGGATTCCAAGAAAGACTGCTGACGGAATCCGTGAAGAGGAGTAGCAGGACAAGGAGCATCTGAACGAGCGGAAGATGCCAATGAGCGACAACTCCCCTCAGCAGAGGTGTTGGAGCCTTGACTGGCTGATAGAGTGCGATTGACGTCGGGTGACGGAGCAAGTAACGGAGCGGGTGATGGAGCGGGGGCTGGGGCAGGCAGAACCGCCGTATCTTTATCACGGTTTTCCCAGGCCACCGAATGGCGACGCTGCATATGCTGACGCAACGCTGTAGTCCCAACATGGGCCCCCTGGCCACGCTTGACTTTCTGGCCACATAGTCGACATACGGCTACGTTTACTTCCTCGGGCGGCTTGACGAAAAATTGCCACACCGCCGAGTAGGAAACTTTGCCCCCGCTACTCCTCACTGGCTGACTGCTACTTCCTCCGTGCACACCGGCACCACTACTGGCCGTGGTGGTAGGCTGCAGTGAGAGCTGGTGCTCTACTCCGTGGCCGTTTGGCTCCACTGACACTGCTGCGACCCTGCTGCCTCCTGGGCAACCCACCAACTGTTTTGCTCGCTGGCAAGCTGGCACCCTCTTCTCCTGATGATGCGGAAGCAATAGCCTGATGACGACGAGGCTGCTAAGTGCGATCAGCCTCATCATCATCAATTAGGGTCTCCGCGTCACTACTAGCCCCCCCGGCTGCGTGTGGGTCAGGAGACAGACCTGTCTCTAGACCGGCTACCGAGCCACTCTCCTCGCCAGTACTTCTTCGCCTGGCTGCTGAAGAGGCGGATGTCTCCCCCCGTTCCTGACCGCACTCTGTTAGCTCTTCCTCACTGTACAGTGGGGCTGAGCCCACAGCATGCGATATTTCGCTTGGTGAGGGAACACCAAAGGACAGGGGCAGGTAGAGGACACGTGATTTCAGTGGGCTTGCTCCCGGGCCATGCCAACTAACGGTTGTGTCTGACATACCCACCGACCGTTGGCTGTAGGTGTCAGAGGTGACCTGGGAAGAGGAAGACGACCGAGTCAACCAATCGATGACGGCAGGGTTGTCGGTGGAGACACGACCGCTGGATGACACCGGGAGCACTGGCCTCTGGCTGCGACTAGTGCTGCCTCGACCCCTTCCTCTGCTGCCACGTCTGCTCGCTCCTGAAACATTGCCTCCTCTGCCACTCCTCTGCGTGTTGTCTGACATACTCTTTAATTCAATAGTGGTTGTGAAGCAGAAAGTAACGATTCTGTGTCCCTGAGTAACAATTCTGTGTCCCCGAGTAACGATTCTGTGTCCCTGAGTAACGATTCTGTGTCCCTGAGTAACAATTCTGTGTCCCTGAGTAACAATTCTGTGTCTGTCCCTGAGTAACGATTCTGTGTCCCTGAGTAACAATTCTGTGTCCCTGAGTAACGATTCTGTGCCCCTGAGTAACGATTCTGTGTCCCTGAGTAACAATTCTGTGTCCCTGAGTAACGATTCTGTGTCCCTCAGTAACAATTCTGTGTCCCTCAGTAACAATTCTGTGTCCCTGAGTAACAATTCTGTGTCCCTGAGTAACAATTCTATGTCCCTGAGTAACAATTCTGTGTCCCTGAGTAATGATTCTGTGTCCCTCAGTAACAATTCTGTGTCCCTGAGTAACAATTCTGTGTCCCTGAGTAACAATTCTGTGTCCCCGAGTAACAATTCTGTGTCCCCTGAGTAACGATTCTGTGTCCCTGAGTAACAATTCTGTGTCCCTGAGTAACGATTCTGTGTCCCTGAGTAACAATTCTGTGTCCCTGAGTAACAATTCTGTGTCTGTCCCTGAGTAACGATTCTGTGTCCCTGAGTAACAATTCTGTGTCCCTGAGTAACAATTCTGTGTCCCTGAGTAACGATTCTGTGTCCCTGAGTAACGATTCTGTGTCCCTGAGTAACGATTCTGTGGCCCTAAAGTCTCTGTGGCCCTAACTCTGTCCCTAATACAGACAGGTCTGTCTCTCTTGAATGACCGGAGGCTAATGGAGAATTCTAAGATGGCCGCGATTTATAGCTCCACCATTACACAGTCCTGGCTGGCTGGCTGCTGATTGGCTAATGCGATCACATGTCATGAATGAATGCATTATGGGTCAGCGTGCCTTGTCTGCGCGCCTTCCCAGAGATCCCCGCTCCGTCGCCACACATGTCGCCGCCATTTTTGGGAAAATTCGATTCGTGCATCCGAAGTTTGCTAATTTTCGGATTTGGCGCGAATCGAATTTTTCCTAATCTTCGAAACGAATTCCACTTCGCCATGTTCGATTCGCTCATCTCTACTCACAGCATGTTCTCAGTCTTCTGGGTGAAACTGGGCATCATTCAACTCAGAACAATGAGGACATCTTGTGATAGAGAAAAGGTACTGTGGGGAGCAGCCTTAATTTTTTTTTTTTTGTTTTTTTGCAACATTTTCTGGGGGAACATTTTGAAAAAAAGAAAGACCTTGAATCAGGCTTTAATTCAACTAAAGCCCATTTTTTTTACATGCAACACTATATAAAACACAGCAAATGCTACCTAAATGAAACACATTCCAGAATCAATGTGGCAATTACTTCCATATCCAGTTGATAAGGATTTTCTTGTATGGCTATACATGGAAGACCTGTTTCAGGCTATTTCTTGCATATGAGCAAGCAGACCACAGTGAAGTCATACACGGAAAACCCCTGGTACAGTTACACACTACTGGCATTTATTACACAGTGCTTATTTTGAAAGTTCCATATCATTGTTTGTGTTCCAAGAGCAGGATCTAGTCATGAATTTTCTCAGTAGGTATGCTTGTGAAGGTCATCTGCGTGCCCTGAGTCTCTGGTGATAGGGAAGATACAGAACCAGAGACCAAAAAAGGCATGTTCATCCACTTTTTTTTATATAGGAGTTTTTTGCAGATACAATTAAATATCCCTTCATCATCTGCCCAAAACTGAATCAAGAACTGCTTATTAAATGATGCGGCACATCTATAAATCTTTAAACCATTTGCAATATTCCTACAAAAGGAGACACAAAGTCCAATCATGTACTATATATATATATAAATATATATATATATATATTATGCTTTCAGATAGAGTGACAAAGAACTGTATGCGTTTTCTCTGGGGAGATGTATGTTCAGCTTCTATCCAAGTGATGACTGGGCAACAAGATAGTAAGGGGGAATATTCAGTTGGAACACAGATTATAAAAATTAGGAAAAGGTGAGGACCACTGTCAGACTTTTAACTGATGCTCCTGATGACAGCTGGCAGGAAATTAAGAAAAAAAACAATTTTGTCAATTAAACAAGGCAAAAACACTAAGGGACCTATTTGTAAATGTTTTCACCAAAGATTAAAATATTTTTACTAGGATTATCACATTTTTCTAATTGTTTTTTTTGGAAAAAAGTGTGAGCCCTGGATGAAAGTTGTGTGCAAAAAAATGTTATAAACAGACCCCTAGGTACAAGCACATAAATAAATGTAATCATATAAATTTAAAAGTATATTGTGTTTTTTTTCACAGAATACATTCATTAATTTGTTTCAGTTACTTATATAGCACTGTCAATTTACGCAGTGCTTTCCATATACTTATTGTACATTCACATCAGTCCCTAACCCTCAAGGGGAGTACAATCTAAGGTCCTTAACTTCTTGCCGACCGCGCATAGCCGAATGACGGCTTCACCGCGGCCGGCCAGTTCTGAGTGGACGTCATATGACGTCCTCCCAGAACGCGCTCTCCTGCGCGCCCCAGGGGGCGCGCACCCGGCGATCTCCGTGATCGCTGTGTCCTACGGACACAGCTGATCACGTGATGTGGTGAAAGGCCGATCCCACCGGCCTTTTACCACGTGATCAGCGGTGTCCAATGACACGCTGATCACAGGGAAAGGCAAGTGCCGGTTCTCAGCTGCACTTTCCTCACGCTGTCAGATCGTGAGGAAAGTACTGCCGAGAACCGGCAGTTGTCAGAGCGGGGATCGGCACCGATCATCAGGGCACTGATGATCAGTGCCCTGATGATCGGTGCCCAGCAGTGACACCCGCAAGTTCCGCCCAGCAGTGCGCCCACTAGCCCCGCCCACCCGTTCCCAGCAGTGCCCCCACCTGTGCCCAGCAGTGCCCCCACCTGTGCCCAGCAGTGCCCCCACCTGTGCCACTCTGCAGTGCCACCTATCTGTGCCCAGAAGTGCCACCTACATGTGCCCAGCAGTGCCACCCACCTTTGCCCACCCACCAGTGCCACCCACCTGTGCCCACCAGTGCCACCCACCTGTGCCCACCCACCAGTGCTGCCCACCAGTGCCACCCACCAGTGCAGCCCAGCAGTGCTGCCAGTCAGTGCCACCAGTCAGTGCCCAGGGGTTGTGCCATTCAGTGCCGCCAGTCAGTGCCCAGAAGTGATGCCAGTCAGTGCCGTCTATCAGTACCCATCATCAGTGTCACCTATCAGTGCCGCCTATCAGTGCTGCATATCAGTGCCGCCTATCCGTGACCCCTAATTAGTGCTGTCTATCAGTGCCGCCTATCCGTGCCACCTCATTAGTACTGCCTATCAGTGCCCTTTAGTGCTGCCTATCAGTGCCCATCAGTGCCGCCTATCAGTGCCCATCAGTGCGCCTATCAGTGCCCATCAGTGCCGCCTCATCAACGCAAATCAGTGAAGGAGAAAAAATACCTGTTTGAAAAATTTTATAAAAGAAACAAATAAACTTTTTTTTTTTTCAAATTTTTTGCACTTTTTTTAATTTATAGCGCAAAAAGTAAAGCGCCCAGTGGCGATTAAATACCACCAAAAGAAAGCTCTATTTGTGAGAAAAAAATGATCAAAATTTCATATGGGTACAATGTTGCATGACCGCGCAATTGTCAATCAAAGTGCGGCAGCGCTGAAAGCTGAAAATTGGCCTGGTAAGGAAAGGGGTATAAGTGCCTGGTAGGCAAGTGGTTAACTTACATTCATACACACACATACTAGGGACAATTTAGACAGGATCTAATTAACCTACCAGCATGTCTTTGGAGTGTGGTAGAAAACTGGAGTACACGGAGGAAACCCACGCAGGCACAGGGAGAACATGCAAACTCCAGGCAGGTGTTGCCATGATTTGGATTCAAACCAACAACCCTTGTACTGTACTGCGTGGCGGAAGTGCTAACCATTTAGCCACTGTGCTGCCCCATTGATGATGGCCATTACTACTAACATTACAGAGTAACAGTATCAACCAAGATTTAATAACATGTCATGTCAGTAGTCACTAGAGTACAGAACCTTTTGCTTTTTGTGTGGAAGCAGTAGTCTTCCTACAGACGTCTGACATGCTCCCATCGGAGACAGATCTTATAGCACTACAGTCACCAAAGCTCAGGCTTCCTGCTGGCATGGTGAACATCTGCAGAGAAACCATTGCTTCTACATAGAGAACATGAATCTTTCTCTTCAGCATAATGTTAGGGGACAGGCTTTTTCTAATCAGGCTATGGCTGCTTTCTAAACAAAAGTTAGGGCTTGTTTACACTTGTAGTTGGGGGGGGCACTAAAAACAGATGGTAGAGCCTTTTTATTTTTACAGTTCACCTCAGACTGCAAAGGCAACCATATGGGGTTGTTCACATGCCATGGCCATGGAGAAAATTAAAACACGTTCAGTGGGCAGTGCACTGAGGTGTGGTGGTTTGGCATTTACAGAATTAATACAGGCATTGAGGTGACATATCACCTCTTCATTGCCTATCAACTGCATTTGAAAAGTAAAAATTTGTGGGGGTGGAAAGGACTACTGCACATTTGAACTTCGTCTAAAGGCTCTTTCACATGGGCACTAATGTGGAGTTGAAGCCACAACTCCACATTAGTGCCACATTAGTAATGGGAAAAAGATGTAGAGGAAGTGACTAGATGACCTGTGTTTTTTTTTTTTTCTTTTTTTTTTGTGGTATGAGGTCAGATGTTTTTCAGTAATTCTGTAGTGTACCTTGCTCTTTTTTCTACATATTCAACTGTCTTTTTAATGACAAACACATGAATTTCAACACTCTAGTCTGTGTGATGTTTCCGTTGATCCAGGCAAAGAAGATAATACAGTGAAAGGCTAGGCAGATGAATAGGAGAGTAGTGCATAATTTCTATATCCTCCACCATGAGTGCCTACACCCAGAATTTTTTTTGATTATACCCACATGAAAGTGTATACATTTGATGCATTGCTGGAGATCCTAGATAACAGTCCATATTCCCATCGCACATGTTCCTGGAATGAGCTCTCAAAGGTACCAGGTGTTGCAGTGACCACCAGCTGGATACTGGAGCACTCACAACGCAGTGTAATTATTCGCCAGCACACTTTTTTGTAATGTGATCTCTTTTCAATAAAAAACATTTGGATTTATTTGAAGATCTGTAATGAGACCACATTTGTATGAGATACAACAAATACAAAGTATCCTGTTTCCCCATACGAACATGACTTGACTTGTGACACTGAGGTAGGTACTGTATATTGTTTTTTATTTTCAACTTTTATATTTCAACTAGTCAACATGCTTAATATGGCATAGAGTTAAAATATGGCAAATGCTAGGAGATTCATATCACATTTTCCGTTTAATACAGGAGCTGAACAGTCTACTGACCATGCCACTGTCCTAGTCATATCACTGTAAAAAAAAAATATATATTTTGACATACACAATATGACATGTTTATAATCACAATATCAGGCCATATATTGGAAACATGCAGTTAGGAAATTCATATAGCTGATGATAGAGGAAATAATATGATAACATTCTTTTATATTTTTTCCTTTTGGCTGTGGCCACTATCCGCAAAGACTGCTTTGTTAAAGCGAAACTCCACCCAAAAGGGGAAGTTCCACTTTAAGCCTTTGTCCCCCGCTCCCCATTAAGGACTGGCACCTTTGGCAAGCGGGTACCCGAATTTGACAGGTACCTGCTCCCACATCAGCTGAGATCCCCAAGTGATCAGAAGTGGAAGTCTTCCTCTCCCACCTCCCTCCCTGTAGTCTTCTGGGACATGTGACAGGTCCCAGAAGACTACGGGGCTATTCACAAAGTGCAGCGCTTCTCGCACATGCGCAGTGGGTACCCAGCTGTCACAGCCGGGTGTCCACACTGAAGATGCCGGTGCTAGGGAGGGAAGACAGCCGGTGAAACCAGCGGTGGTGAGGACACCACTGGACCGAGAGACAGGTAAGTGTCTGTATTTTAAAAGTCAGCAGCTACAGTTTTTGTAGCTTCTGACTTTTATTTTTTTTTTCCAGGTGGAACTCCGCTTTAAGGTTTCAGGTAGTGCATTTTAACAAAAAAATTAACAAAGTTTTAAACAAGAACCAACAGTAATCTTTCAAGAAGAATGTCCTATAAAATATTCAAATATAACACTGCTGAGAGCATCTAGTTTTACAAGTCCCGGTTTGTGGGAATCCTGTGAGGTGTATTAAGTGATAGATGATAAATGGCCATGTAACATGAGTTCTTCTGCATCAGACCCTGTGGATGTTATGTCTGTGGTGTATAGTTTGTGTGGTGTTGTGTTTATGTAGCAAATGTGGTGTATGTGGGATATGTTTGTGAGTATACTGTGGCCTTGCTAGATCTGTGTATCGTTTACTGTGAGTATGAGGATAACTGCTGTGAGTAGGCAGTTGAAGTGTGTGGATATCATTTATTTGTGGCCATTACAGCTGGCATAAGTATATAATGTTTGACAACAAGAAGTATGTTGAATTTTCGGACTTGAAACAAATGAGGGGGAATTTTCCTCAAGCCATATGCTGAGTACCAGAGAAAGACTGTGATTTTATTCTCTTTTACTTTCTGTTCCTTACTCTGCTTGAACTGATCACTCACTACTTCCAGCACTTTGATGGTTTCTGATTGCTCTTGATCACTTGTCTTGTTTTTCTTTTGGCTGGCTGTGAAGTGGGCTGTTTCTTCATGCTGCTTTGGGAAGCATGAGTGGTAAATTGTAGAGGAAAGGACTGGCCAGAGGGTATTTCTTTGTCCTGTGTCCTCCTGTACAGTGGTACCATCTTTACTAGTAGAGTCTTGCTTGCTATCATCCCAAAAACCTGAAAGGCTAGCCCACCACCAAATAGAGATGTTTATCATAACACAACTATTACCAAAAATAAAGGACAAACTCATGATCTCCATGTCATTAAGGCCCATAAGAAATTAAAGACTTGTGTGTTTTTTCTTTTTAGGCTCCAATACCTCTGGGTTGTTGTGAGACTGCAGCAAAATCATTGCTATAATGATTCCTCTATGATTTTCATTGTTTCTTCATAGATTTGGCTAAATAAAATAAAAATGTATAAATACATAGATAAATAAAAGGGTGTGTGTTCCTGATCTTGGTTTCTAGGTGCATTGGGCATTTCTTTGTATAGATTGAAATGTCATACAACAGCATTATTGAAAATAACTTGTGGAACCTGTAACATCGCATAATGAATGCTAAGTAACTATACAAGTGGTACTATACATTATGCAAATGCATTTGCTTTTCAAATCCGCTGCACAAACATGTTGGGTCATTTCCACTAAGGCTTGCTTCTTTTTATATGCATCATTGTAAATTGCCAGAATGTGGAAATACAGCTCAGGGTGCTGTTCTACTTTGTGGATAAATGCAGCCACATTAATAACAGACATCATGGCAGCAATATAATTTGCAATGGCTGCAGTACCTCCTCTATCAGGGAATTATTGGATTGAAACACCACCTGCCGGAGGTTTGCATGTTCTCCCTGTGCTTGCGTGGGTTTCCTATGGGTACTCTGTTTTCTTCCCACACTCCAAAGACATAGTGGTAGGTTAATTGGCTCCTGTCTAAATTAGCTCTAGTACAGTGGTTCTTAACCTTGTTGGAGGTACTGAACCCCACCAGTTTCATATGCGCATTCACCGAACCCTTCTTAATTGGAAAAATAAAATATGATTTTTAAAATTCAAAACATAGGTATATATTTAGGTATATATTTATACATAGGTGCACAAAATGAACAAAACCGTTAAGAACAAAGAACAAAACCATTAAAACATGATTTTCACACAAAAACATAATAATGAATATTTACTGCACGAATCATATGAGTCGGGTGTGGGTCTTCACCTCCGCCGAACCCGCGAGACTGACTCACCGAACCCCTGGGGTTCGATCGAACCCAGGTTAAGAACCACTGCTCTAGTATGTGTATATATGAATGTGAGTTACAGGCCTTAGATTGTATTTTATAGGAGGTCATAAAATGCA